GGGGGGGGGAAGTTTTGGCGGGAAAATAGCTAACTCCGGAACTAGAAAAGCTAGAAAGCTAAAATTTTGAGGTTATGCTCCCCGTCCACATAGAACTCAAAGATGTATTTGCAAATATTAAGCTGAGTGAGATAATTTCACCGCTGCTTATTTCGGTGATTTATAATAAGTTTAACCCAGCATCCATCACTGAATAGTTATATAAAGAACGGATCAGCACATATGCCCTTGGTGGGTCGCGTCGAAAACATTCGAAATTTTCCGTCCATAATCTCAGCGCAAAAGCTGCTCACGCAGCGTGTTGCACATGGAGATATGGCTATGCAAGCCAACTCTCGCAAGAAGTGTGGCCATTAATCCATCAATTTTTTTAAAAAAAGCGAGGCAGATGAGCTTCATCGCTTACAGCTCAAAAGCAAAAATTTATCCTGATTCGTCATACACTACAGCGAGCGAAAGAGGCTGTCATCACCAACATAGGAGGCTTAGCAAGCGAAGCGAGCAAACAGTTCATTACCTGAACCGGGAAACAGTGTTGCTTAATCCACTGGATATAGCGTTTTGCTAAAAAGTTCCTTATCATTTGTTCAATTCTATTCATCTTCCATTCAGTTCATTTTCCAGAATTTTGTCACGACCAACGTTTCGGACAATGGAATTCTGGGCGATCCGTTTGTTGACTGTGGTGATAATTACATTGAAGTTAGTTTTTTTCAGTGACAAAGATCTAATTTTTTGCCATTTTCGCCACCGAAAAGCCAATTTAGCGTTTGCATAAAACGTGATTATCAGTGCATTTTGTTCTTATTTTTAGAAAAAAAAAAAAAGAAAACAGAAAGCGTTCCGCGCTCCCTTCTCACATTTTTTTTTTTTTGATTCTCAAACGTGAATAACAATTAATTGTTTCTCTAAATAGACTTTTTTTCGGTGAACACCGCTCCAAAAATTCGCTTTCTTAGGTTCTGGTTGTTATTTTTAATTCGCAAAACTTGTTTTTTTTTCATAGGGATGTAAAAGTGACTGGAACACAGATCTCATGTGTCAAGGAGGAGTTTTTAGCTAAAAACCTGCTTTGAAAATGGATCTTCCGATGAGATTTTCAATCTTGGTCGCGCAAACACGTACCCAAATGGTTTAGACGAAGCCGGATTTTTAGCAGCAATTTTTTATGAAATTAATTTGCAAGAGACAATTAAAACAAACAAATGTAAAAAATTAACGAGCGAAATGCTTTCTTCGTTTTTCAAGCAAGAATATCCAGAAATGCAAATGCACTTTGGAGTTTCATCAAAAAATAACTTTAAGTCAGAAGACAGACGAGTTTGCTTATAAAATAGAATAGTGGGCAATAAGCTGAGAGATTTTATTTTCCATAACCGTTAAATTGACACGTTATTGACAACACGAAGAAGGCAAAGTGCTGATCCTAGAGCAACTCAGTTTGTAACTTTTCCCGAAAACTTTTTCCTAAACCGTTGATTCTAAAAGTTAAGGTACGATTCGAAACGCGGAACACTTTCAGTGGGCTTGTATTTGTAGAAGATCATTTGACAGATCCATCTTGTCGTTCGGTGCACGCTGAAAATATCAGTGACCAAGGGCGGAACGCTTCCATTAAACTTGGCTTCAAAAGTTGTGATATTGAGAGGAGGCGGTCGGTATGTGATTTTTGTTATGTGTTTTTGCTGTGCAGTGCTACTTTTTTCTGATTCTTCACAATAGCTCCAAAATCCTGAATTTTTTTCGTGCTGAACAGCGTTGATTGTAACCGGTCAGTCTCAGGAGCTAATGCAGAGACTGGCCGATCTAAAGAGCTGATAAGAGCCACTGGTCAACCTAAAAGCTAAAAAATGCGATTGGCCATCCAAAAAGTTGACAATTGTTATTACTAATGGAATTTTTTGATAGAACAATCCGCGCGGAATGTTTGTTACAACATCTATTATTGTGGCATTTCATCCGGAATTCCTGACGAAGAATGATCGCGTCTATGTAGTGCAGTGCTTCTATATGGAATTAAAAAAGGTTCTTGAGAAAGAAATACAAGTAAGGTAAGCAAAAATAATTCGGTTGTGTCTTTTCTGTTATTTTAAAAATTCTTTGACAAGGTTCAAAATCGGGCCGTGGAATTAGACAAATGTAGATATTCCCAAGACACTGTGAATTTAATGCGAATCGATCTACAACTAAAGTGGAGAAAGGGTGCAAAAAACTCTAACGAGCGCACATTTCGTGTTTTGAATCTAATTAAGCCTGAAAAGTGCAAAAATTGTTCAGGGGTAGAAGAAGTCGATCCTGAGCAAGATTAACCTGCCTTTATGGGTTATAACAATTTGGATTTACAGGTCATGGCCTAGACCTAGGTTTTTAGCTCATGACAAAGTAAGGTTTCGGTTCTGGGCTACTTTTTTTGAGTAATTGATGAATTAATTTAAATTTTAAGTCTGCAGCTTCCCTTATTCATCCTGAAGTCAAAGTTCAGGGCACAGAGGGTAAAAAAGTGATTCAGGCTTGAGGCCTGGTATATGTCCGGAAAAAGTATTTTTTAAAATTCGGCTTAAATCCCTATCAAGTGTATTACAGGAGCAGATATAGGACAAAAAACAGCATGCTGTGACTGTAATGAAATAAGTATCAAAATCGTATGTGCTTGTGTGTCTGGACACAGCGAGTTGACTACGTGATCCAGCACCCGCATATCAGCCGAGGCCATATTCCCAAAATTTCGGCTTCCTAAACATCGAATCTTTTGGAGCTGGATTATTGCGACTAACAAGCAAGCGCCACACATTCTATCTCGGATTTATTCAGTTTTTCGACTTATATAAAAACGCATGAAATTAAGACATACACTCAATCCATTTGTTTCTAATTAGCTAATTTCTAAGCATTTCGTTACTCTTGCTAATTGAGCAAACTTACAATTTAAAAATAACTTACTTGGCTGCATACAGTCTTCGACTTTTACACATCATTCTTTTTCAGGATGAACCCGCCACCACTTCAGACCGAGCAAATGCAAATGCCGGTATGCAGATATGAGGTCCTCGATGGCTCACCTACCGGACCGCCCATATTTTACGCCGTTATTGGACAAATGGTACATTATAACTACAGCATAAATTTCACATTATTTACAATATATTGCTTGAATAAAGTGGCGTCTTACTGGGAAGCAATGAGAGAGAGAGAGTTGGCTGTGCTTACTTTCTCTGCAACCAAGTGACAACCAAATCATAGTCGGAAAGGACTGACAAATTTGGTACAAAAAAATGCGATTTGACCAGTGAGGGCAGCGAGCTTGGCAAAGAGAAGCTAAAATTGGGCAGGACAATGGAGGATGAATTTCAAGGACACCAAAGGAGTGATTTTGTCAGGAGAAGCGATTTTCGTGTATCTTCCAGATGGCGGATGCATCGAGGCAAGACTTTTTTGAGAGAACATTATACGACGCACAAACTGTGCATGCTCAAATGGGTTACCCCTACGAATCGAGCCCATTTGTCTGAGGAGAACTGATGAAAGTAGGATAAATTTGTTCTTGAAATGAGATTTGTTGATTGAGGTGTACCATAAATGGACGTGCGACAGTGATAGCGAGAATCAGTTCTGCATGCTGGTTCACAGCTGCTTTGTTGATGATGGTAATGGCGATCGGGTACAACTCATTGATCAGCAAGGGTAAGCCCAAAACTTCTAACGCAGCAAATGCGCCTAACTGCTTCCGGTCTAGCCTAATGCTCCTTGGTTAACTCGAATGAACAGATAACGGATATATGTGTAGGACTTCAAAATAATAATCTGAGCAGTCCTGACTCAAAGTGAAAATCTGAACGATCCGCACCTGACAAAAGATCAGAAATACCGCTTTGATAAAGCAACAACTGTTTCTCTGGCGAAAAAGAAATGAAAAGAGAAATCAGGACAAACTAATCAGGCACTAGCTTTTTGACTGGCAAAATCATGTGAGTAGGTTGAAGAGGATTAGAAATGTTGTAACAAACATTGTGTGCTGTTATTCTGCAGATGTGCTAAGGATAAATATTTACTGCAAAATCTGGAATATGTGTCGGATCTGATGGCTGGAAAGGAAGCTCATGTTTACAAATACGCAGACCGACAAAGCATGTTTTTCGACTGCCAAATAGCGCTGACAATCAAGGAACCCGAGCAGCAATATTGCACAGTATGGCTTTTAGTGAACAAGACTTCTGCGCCATTGTCCTCTGCACTTTTTTTAGTTTTATACGTCATTGATGGAATGCAAAAAAAGCATGCTGACGAGAGGTGTTGGTATGTTTGTGTGTTCGGGTTCATCCATTTTCAACTCAGCAACAAGAGAAGCTAGGAGGCTGTAATTTTACGGGCAAGTGTTTATTCCATGTGAGTCTCCGGAAACATAAAGACAAATCATGCGTGTACCAACATTTTACGTGCACACACTTGGAATTAAAACTGACAAAGTTTTAACAGATAAACAGTCCGGGTCCAGACAAGATATCTTTTCTTTTCCAACAATTCGCTATTCTTAGAATGCAAATGTTGCATAAATTCCTGGTGGCTGTTTGAAGCAATTATAGTTACAAATGTGAAAAAAAGCGATTTTAGACTCACGTTTTACAAATCTTTCTTGTTTCCGTTATTGCATTTTAATAGCTTCTTATGCCTGTTGACTGGTTTCCTCATCCAAGAAAAACTGCTTTTCATTCGTCTAATGTTCAGTACTTTATTCTCTGGCAATCAACTGAATAGCTTAGCAAATGAAAATGGTGGATCTGAGTTAACCCCAATATCACACTAACACCGAGTATTTTCAGATCCCGAGCTGTCCAGAACCACCGAGACGAAAACGTGCAGAAGCTCCGCTGCCCACGAATATCAATTCCACAGAAAGTACTGAGGAGACTTTGGTGGACGATAAGTGGACAATAGTACCTAACAAAAGTAATAATATTCTAGGTGATTCGAGCATGCTGTTATCTGAGCACTGATTGACTAAAACTGAAAGAATTTGAATTGGCGATGCACCGGTTTGTGGGATATCGTGTTTTTCGATTCTCTTTCTAGAATCGTAATATCTGAAAGCATTTGCAGAGGAATATGAGCTGGAAAAGAGCTTCATTATTCGACGCGAACAAATTGAAAGGGTTGGCTGGTTCGATAACAATTTCGACCTTTATCAGGTCCATATCAGTGCAAATGCAAAAGTTTACTTGAGAAAGACAAACAGTTTATCTAGTCAGCTGTTGTGAGCACATGTTCTATTTCGGCATTACCGGCGTTCTATTTCAGGATCAGTTATGCATGTCATCACTTGGTTTTGGCACGATTGCAGTAATGAATTTAGTAATGATCTCAACATCGGCTCTATTTTTCTATGGAACGTACAAACAAGAATACAGCAGAACCACCGGCTAACTGTAAATTCTGCTCAGAAATCAGAATCTCGTACTGTATCGCGAAGGTCTCAATTTATGAAGCAACGCTTTGGTAGTGTCCAGAGATACCAGGAAATTCAACTGAAAATTGGCAATACATCCAAAGAGTTTTATTGATGTTGTAAAACATTCAGGAACCTTTGATTCTGAATTGTTGGAAGGTTTCTGGACAATCTTCCTTAAGTAGTTGCAGACAGTCTGCTGATTTGTTGTTTTTTTTTTTTTTCTGATTCTTGCTGCGCCTCACGCAACTCTTTGTACAATTTGTGGAATGCTGCAGTGTCAGTAGAATTTTTTAAAATTTTTTCGTTATGTAAATTGCCAAATAACTTTTATTCCTTCATCCAAGGCTTTAGCAAAGCGTACTCAAATTAGCAGTTGTTTCATTTAGTTGGCTTTTTCCAGTTGTCAAATTCGCACTGAATTAGTTAGTGAAGATTATTACCAAGAATATTAAGACCGCTTGGACAATTGATGTGAGAATCCTATGTTATTGAAGTCACTGGGGTGCTCTCAGACGTTGGGCGCGATATTGTAAACATTTCGGCCCGAAATGCTTACCTGCGGTTAGTATACACCGCTGCAAGGTGTTACTTCCATCTGCTCTTTTTGTGAATATTCGAAGGTGGCTTTTGGAATGAGATCTCAAATAAATCTAGAAATTCAAATCGATATACACAAAATACTCGTTTTAAAAGCGACGTGTTGGCCCTTCCCCTTGCAAGGACTGTAGTTCGAACAGTTTAGTTAACTGCAGTTTTGGCAGTTCCGAATTCCTAGCACTGAGTGTACATTGATAAAAAATCCAAAGTTCGCCGGTTAGTGCATACTGCTTTGTTGTGTTGTTCCGATGATTGTATTTGTTGTATTTTTATGTTACCGTTGAAAAAAAAGTGACGTGGCCTGAAACTGCTCTGCCGAAGTTGAATTTTTAAAGCAGATTGCAAACACAATGTCTGGCCAAGTGTTATAGGCTGGTTAGCTGCTAAATTTCTGCTAAAAAATCACTGGCTTGCGAAGTATCGTGATATGGTGGAAGCAAGCTGGTTCCGAAGCCAATAAATGACAATCCTCGTAGAACACATGGGCGGTACAACTACAGATCTGAGGGTGTGATGATGTCTTTTTTCGGCGCACCATTACACGAGTTGGGCGGAGCGAGCAAATCTATCAATTATTGTTTTCGTGAAAATCTGTTAAATTTCAAGAAACGTTAGTAGTATTTTATTGCCCTATAGAGTGCGTCTGAACAGTTGCACGCTAGAAATAATTAAACAGCCAGGCCTTTTCAAAGGTCTTGCGCCTGCCTGAAACTAAATATAATTAAAGTGCAATTTTAAGAGCTCAGGTTTTAGCTTTGTTGCTCATATGGACAAGTAATTTAAGCTCAAAACCACATTTTATTTGCTCCCAGAATACTGGAACTAATAAGCTCGGCAGACATACAAAGTAGGGAGGGATAGATGTTTATGTGGAAGATTGTCTTCTTTTGTCTCAAATCTAATACTCGCATGGAAAGAAAATAAATGTAAAAAAGAAAAAAAAATTGAATAAGGGGCAAAAATGTACTAAAAACAGTTTGAGAGTGATTAAATTATGACCAAACGCGTGTGAGCATTTCACGAGGCATGCTTTAAATCTCAAATAGAAATACTTCGGTCACACATAGACATGTAAAGTTTCAACTCCCTAGCGTATATGGTTAGCAAAATCGCTTTTGTTACTCGAAATTTTTAAGGCATCTTCACTTGCGACACAGATATATGCTAAAGCTTATTTTATGCTTACATGCCCAATTACGAACATTCTAATCAATTTAATTCCTGAATTGGCACTTTGTCAAAGACTGCGAAGTCATAACTTTGGCGTCTGTGTATGAGGTGTCTGCGCACGTTAAAGATGAACTTGAATTTTTTTGTCCACACTAGCACACAGAATATCTCTTTCTAGCTTTTCTGGTCCTCGAGTTGAAAATGAGTGGCAAATATTGCGAGCACACAGACCTCCTACCAACACGCGTTTTTGGATTTGCTAATATGCAAAAAAGCATAGAAACAAAGCAGAAACTTGGTATCAAGTTTCTGCTTTGTTTTTTTTTTCTCAAATCCCATTCAAAGCCATTTTTTTTTCAGCACAGAGCCAATGTGTGCTCTCGAGAAAAAGAGCAATAGCGAAAAGCACCAATCACGAAACAACCTTTCCAACACCAATACAGCGTCGGCTGCAAAAACTACGGTTTCCATTTCCACTACAATAGCAGTTCTGGTTCAAAGGGATGAAACA